TTGAAGGAGGAAAAACATACTGTGGAAATGGAGAGTAGACCCCCAAAAAAAAAATCCTGAAGAAAACCAGTCTTTTTTTTCCTGTTGAAGTATAGAAAGAGCATTCCCCATTATCCAAAAAAATAGTGAGGAGCATTCCTGTTTTCTTTTCCTTCTCATTCTCATTTCTTCCTGGCACTACCCAGTGCTGCACCAGAGGCACCGCTGCACTGCCACAGAGGGAGAAGTGATGCGAGCCCCTTAAAGGTCTTGAGAAAAGAGTTTGGTCAAAAGAATCAGGAACAGTAGCTGGTGTGGTCCCCAAACTTGGAAACTCATGACCATAATCTTCACTTTTCAACTTTTTAAAAGAGGTTTATTTTTATTTATGCATGCAAGAATTGGGGCTTAGTCTAGAGGTGGGGGAGAGATGTGGGGGAGATGAGAAGATGCACCAGAGACAATGGGGAGCAGAACAGGTGGAATGACTGAAATACACTGCTGACAGAAGTAGCAGGCAAGGAAATGAAGGAGAGGTCTACTGAGCCATGTGGGTCAGCTCCCTGGCTGGAAACTGAACTCAGGCCACAGCTGTGATAGTGTGATTGCACTGGGACTTAAGTCCTTGAGCAACCAGGGAGGCCCCACTTTTCAGTTTTTATTACTTGCTATTTTCCTTTGATCTTTTCATTTTAGAATCATTTTAGATTTACATAAATGCTGCATAGACAGCACAAAGAATACCCATATACTCTTCAGAACTTAGGGTCCAAATCTAATGGGGATTATTGTTTGCTTAATAATAAACAAAGCCAATCAACATGTTTCTGAAAATTTTAACAGGACTCAGTATCTCACCCGTAATATCCCAAAAGCACAGATTGATAATATAAGTTACAGGCAAGAAAATATTTGCAAATCTTCTTTTACCCAGAATATCTAAAGAAATCAAAAATTCAATAATTGGAGAATAAACAACTTAATTATTAAAATGGTGGAAAGAAGACAAGTGTAAATTTAACCAAATTAGACCTATGTGTGACAAATAAGCACAGGAAATCACCCTCAGCATCAGGAAAATGCAAAATGAAGCCACAAGATACTTCCATCTATTAAATGCCTGTAATCTCCAAGAATTTTGGTGGCTAACCATCGTGAGGATGCAGAACTGAAACCTCATCCATTTGCTAATAGGGATGCAACACAATACAACCACTTTGGAAAGAATTTTGAGTCTTACATAATTGAATATACATTCAGCATATGATCCAGAAATCTCTTAGTGCAGGAAAATGAAAGACTTTGTCCCCAACACAACTGTCTGTAAACATTTAGAGCAGTTTTTTCCCTAACTACCAAAATCTGGAAACAACTGAAATATTCTTTAACTCATGAATGGGTAAGCACAGAGTACCACAGTCATACTACTACTACAATGCTACTCAGTAATCTAAATTAATAGCTGTTGGGTCACAAAATAGCAAGGAAACATGTAAAAAGCTTAATGAAAGAAGCCAGAATCAAAAAGTTTCATACAGTATGTTGCCATTTTGGATGACATCTCTGAAAGGAGGAAAAAGGCAATAGTGCTAAGGGTCAGGAGTGGGTGAGCATTTAAATAAAATGTGCAGAGAAAATGGGGGACAGATCATACAAGTGCCGCAGATGTTGATTGCTTTAGTGGTGAGATGACTCTGCATTTGTCAAAACTGTACACCATAAAGAGTAATCTTTTCTGAAAACTAAAAATGACTTAAATGTCCTTCAGAAGTGCCTGGTCTATAAGTTATGGAAAACTTAAATAGAATTAAGAATCTAGATGGCCAAACAGGCACATGAAAAAATGTTCAACATCCCCTATAATCAGGGAAATGCAAATTAAAACCACATAGAAATACCACCTGACACCAGTAAGAATGACACATATCAAAAAAGCAAGCAACAACAAATGTTGGCAAGGATGTGGTGAAAAAGGAACTCTCCTACATTGCTGGTGGGAGTGCAAACTGGTCCAACCACTGTGGAAAACTGTCTGGAGGTTCCTCAGTCTACTAAAAATGGAGCTGCCATACGACCCAGCAATTCCACTCCTAGGTATCTACCCAAAGGACACAAAAACATTGATTCAAAAGAACACCTGTACCCCTATGTATACTGCAGCATTATTTACAATAGGTAAAACCTGTAAACAACCCAAATGCCCCAAAATAGATGACTGGATCAACAAGATTTGGTATACACACACACACACACACACAGACACACACACACACACACTGGAATATTATTCAGCAATCAAAAAAGATAAACTCATGCCATTCGCAGCAATGTGGATAGAACTAGAAGGAATTATGCTCAGTGAAATAAACCACAAGGAAAAAGAAAAATATTAGATGGTTTCACTTATAGCAGGAATATAGGGAAACCAAATAAAACATAAATGTAGAAAAATAATAACAGTACAAAACACAACATAGCAAAAATGGATATTATAAATTAGAGACATATCGCAGGGGAGGAGGAGGGAGAGGCATCAGAGGGAGGGAGGGAGGAGCACAGGGTACTAAGCTGATGGTGCATGGGTGCATTGTTGAAGGAAACTCTATGGGGACTATACCTGAGGGGGTGGGGGGAAGCAAATATTGTTTAAAATGAACAATGATGTAAAAAAATAATTAAATAAAAATGAGTGATTTAAAAAAATAAAGAAGATATTGGTTAGGCAGTTAATAATTCTCTCAAGTGGAAGCTCAGGCTTATGTATATTCAAATTTCACTCCATACTGGCTGGCAGTGATTGCTCTGACCTTTCATAGAATTTATAGCTTGAATCATGCAATTTAACCATTAGTTACATAATACATCTTGTGTACTTCTTTATTTTGTGGTTCCTGAAACTTACTATATATTTCTTTAAAATTAGTTGCTTTTCAGATATTTTGGTGAACCTCTTTAGTCTCCTAACTCCTTGACAAATGCAGGTGCCTGGATACTAATAAATTTTTCTGGAAAAAAAGAAGAATCTAGATGGCCAAATATATTGATGAATATATGTTGTAAAGTTAATATTCAAAACATAAAAGTATGCATGGTATGATCTTACTTGCATGAAAATAAATAAACAATATATTACAGACAAAGCTTATTATACAACCTTATTATATAAGCTTAGAAAATGTCTCCTAGTGTACGTAAGAAATCATCGACTGTGGTCAACGTTAGTAATGTGTACTAAGAATAGCTGGGAGGTATTTTACTTTTTACATATGGCTCATATGGTTAACTACAAAAAAATGTCATTCAAAATTTGGGAAAGTGGTAAAGCAAGGGCTTAAAAAATATACATATTTTGTCTGGTAAAATATTAATGTTCAATAGCTGATAGATTTCATATTCATAAAGTTATTAATGTATAATTATTAGCATTATGTCTAAGTGTGCATAATTAATAAAAATTTGACTGTAGTCATTATAATTTACCATTTAATAATTTATATAACTCATCCACTGGATAATTTCTTTTCTCTGGTCAAAATTCATTTCCCAATAATACACATTTAAAAAATGGGTTTATTTTACTATATATATATGTATAATTTTAAAACATTCTTTAATAAATATATTCAAGAGCAAAACGAAGACTGAAGGAGAAATTGACCAATACATTGCAACAGTAAAATGTCCGTTTTAGAACAAGGAATTTTTTCTAAGACATGGAAAGGCAGTGAGTCAGTGGCTATGTGAGTACCCACACCCCAACGGACACACACATAATTACTAATTCCCCCTCATACTTGTGAACTTAAATCAACTGAGATCAGTTATGTTAAGTATCTCTAAGGAAGAGATGGTACATTATTATATCTAACTAACTTTCCATAGACGTATTTATAGTCCAATGTCTAATTTAAGTGATTTCTGACCTTCAAATTCAAATGTGAGCTACAGTATAAAACCAAATCCCCAAATAATTCACAACAGTAGAATTAAGCTGCCTCCTGAGTCTCTAAGTCTTCGGAAGTTGTGTTATGATGTAAGGAATTGAGCTGAGTCTCAAAGTAATCATAGAACATGAGGCTGAGGTGGACCTGTGAAACAGACAAGTGATCAACGCTCTAATGAAAGGGATATAAATACACAGTGGTGGGCCTCCCTAGTGCCTAGGGGTTAAGTCTCAGTGCTCACCACCACAGCCTGAGTTCATTCCCTGGCCAGGGAGATAACCCACATATGATGCAACAGACCCCTCCTGTCTTGCCCACTGCTCTGTTCAGCAGTGTATTTCTGTAAATCCATCTGTTCTTTTCCCCACTCTGTCTCTGGTGAATCTTCTTACTTCCCCCATATCCCTCGCCTACACCCCCCCCCAGTTCTTCTATGCTAAATGAATAAATAAATCTTTTTAAAAAGTTAAATAAATACACAATAGTAGAATGTTCAAGAGCTGCAAAGGATATAGGAAGAAAAGCAAAAGATGAAGAGAAATTCACATGGCTAAGGTAAAACATGTGAACGGGGTGCCCAGCTCTGTGCCAAGTGCTGTGAGGGCTTAAAGCTGGTTCCGTTTCTGTTAACCAATGAGTGATGGTTCTGACTGGAGGGGAGGGCTCCACCAGGGTCAAGGAAAAAATGAGGGTTGAATTAGGCCTGGAAGAAAGCAGAGATATTGTACCTGCCAAAATAAGACAATTATTTTTAAGCCCCTCATATTTCCTCACAATGTGTTCCTCTTCTTCTTTCATCATTTTCCCATTCACTGCTTGTGCTAGTATGTGGACTCACTTTGTTGCCCTGTAACTACCTTGTCCTGCTTGTGCAAGAGAGGAAATCCTGACTTAAATACACAGACAGCCGCGGAACAACTTAATATTCTTATATATTTAGGGTTGAGCTTCCTAAAATGATGATAAAGCTTTCATCCTTCAAGTTTCACTCTCCTTAAATCTTACTAACAAAATACTCCAGGACTCAAACTGAGGTGGGAGAGACAGAGGGTGGAAGAAGAGAAAGGAAGAAAAAGAATGAATTCATGCAAATCATCTCCATCGCAATGCACAGGTAAAATCTTGTCTCTTTTCTTTCATAGATTTCTTTTTTCTTTGCAGGATTAATACATGTGTTGCATGACAGAACAACAGGAAAGTTTTCAGTAAAGTAAAATAACAGGCAGAGAGACAGGGAGAGAAAATGAAAGAGAAGAAAATAAAAGAGAATGATTAGAAAACTATGTTATATTGGAAAGATGGCTGGACTTCAGTTTGGGAGTTACAGAACTGAAAAGTTACTGCTGCTTCTCCTCTTCCTACAAGTCACTGGGTCAAACTGGACAAACCACTGCACCTCAGGGGAACCCATTTTCCCTATCTTTAAAATGTGCATTGGAGGAAGGAGAAGAGAAACTACTAGATAGTTGCAAGTGTTAGCTTACTGACTTATAAAGGGCTTGGAAAAATGAAACACAGAAAGAGAAGAGCTGGATATAGACAAGAAAAATGGAGAGTGAGGAGAAAGGGGGAAAGGGAGAGAGAGAGAGAGAGAGAGAGAGAGAGAGAGAGAGAGAGAGAGAGAGAGAGAGAGAAAATCTGTGAGACCTGGAAGAAAAACATCACACTTCTGTCCAAGTTCATGAATCAGTATTAAAATTAGTAAGAGCTAAAAGTGTGGTTTGGCTGGGGTGGGGAGGAGAGGAGGGATTAGGGCCAAAATAAGGTGGGGTGGGTACTGTATCGGGAATATAACCAAAATGAAAATGCATATATTGTGCAAAAATGAAAAATGATGTAAGAATTATATAAAATAAAATAAAATAAATAAAGACAGGATTCATTCCCTCATCAATAAAATATAAAAAGATTAATTAAAAAATAAATAAATAAATAAATAAAAGTGTGGTCTCCAAGTCAATACCATCAGCAGCTCTCGGGAACTTGCATCCATACCAGCTCTACTAAATTGTCAACTCTGCGGCTCTGTGTTTTCACAAATCCCCCAAATGATTGTGATGCATGCTGAAGCTTGAGAATTACTCAACACTCATAATATTGGTGGAAGGAAATCAGTAAGGATGAATAAGAATCTCATAGGTATCTTTTGTATCTTGTTTAGGGAAGATTGACTATGTTTCTGTCTTTCTACAGAAAGACTATTCTCCTCCCAAATGTTCTTGTGGACTGTTTCCGGGGCTGCCATACTACTTCTCAGTGCCTGTTTTATCACCAGATGTGTTGGTAAGTTCTAAAGGTCAAGTTCAGTCTCTCCAGTGAGTATCAGAAGTAAATTCTTCCTTGCTGCCTGTGGATTCTCTTCTTCTGCAAAAGCTATTTCTATTCTACTCTTCCCTTCCCTGCTTTCCACCTGGGTTAGTCTTTAAGCCAGAAACCCCAATTAGCACAGAACTGTTACCAAATTTCAGTGACCCCTGACTCAATTTTCATGACGGATATTCTTCATCTCCTTGGTGGCCTTGAGCCCCTCTTTCTGTTCCCTGATCATTACTGTAACCCCCTCTGTGAGATGCAGTTACTGAATAAAGGGGTTCACATCTTGGGGGGTTTCAGCCAATAGACCAGATCCAAGTTTATGGAGGAAAGAGAAGTTTTATTACTTGTGACAAGTAAGGTGGCAGGGGGATATCTCCAAGGATTGCCTCCCTGAATAGGGAATTCAAAATATTTTAAATTTTTTTTACAAGGCATCATAGATTGATAGTATTCTTATCCCCATTTTATAGGTGAACAAACAGTATTACAGTGGTTCAAGCACTTGCCTAAGATCACACAGCCAGTCAATACTCAAGCTCAAGTCAGCCTGACTTTCAAGAATAAGATTCTTAAACCCTGTGCCTCTTATCAAGCAACCACTGCCCCAGTGTGAGCCTCATCCCTTCTTCAGTCTTCCTCTTGTTCTCTGCTTTCACTTTTTTAATAGTTCAGCCTCAAACTCTTTATTTTAAAGTCACTTATTGAATAATATATAAAAATAAAAATTGCTCCTTTAAGTACAGTTTGATGAGTTTGAACAAATGTAAATAGTCGTGTAACCACCACCATAAACTTGACAAAGAACATTTCCATCAGCCCCAAAACTTCATCCTGATTTCAAGGGTTTCCTCAAAGGGAAAGCCCAGAAGTAGAAAGAGGAAGTCCTGGGTGATTGGATGCTGAGTACCGGGCAGCTGAGGATCTCTGCCCAGGCCCTGGAGACAGAACATGCTTCAGTTTACCTGGTGGTTTGGCGCTGAGGATCCTCCCTCAGAGGAGAGTTTAGGATTTTAATGAGGTTTCGGCTACTTGCAGTCACTCAGGATCAGGTCTGCCCAGCTCTGGGTTGTTCTGGTGTTTGTTATCCAGGTGATTGAGCCGGAGAGAGGTGGTTGGGATCTGGTCAGCAAGACAGGGTGAGACATTGTTTAAGGTAAATCATCAAGCACATTTAACTGCTTGTTGGGAATACATCAGACAGTGAACTGCCATAACAATCCCCGCTTTTTTGGTCTCTGGGGTGCTGGTTTGATAACAGTCATAGCCAGAGACATGAGAAATCACTTTCTGGAAAGAATAGAGAGGGCACGACTTGGCATGAGAGATAAACAAACATATTTGCTTTCTCTGGGCCTTCAGGGCCTGAAATAAAGCACATTCATCCTCATAAGTCAGACAAACCGTAAGTAAATTCCTCCTGCCCCTCCACCTCTCCTGTTCCTGAGGAAAATTACATAGTAATAGAATATCATCACAGCTATGGGCACTTCTGTTTTGAATACAAAAAAGATAAAATTTATTTTTAGCAAGAGTAATGAACTTTACGTGTGCCCCTTTCCTTCCAGTGACACATCTCATCTTTCAATGCTGCAATGAGAAAGAATTCCAGCCACGTGATGACTTGATGGGACTCTCCTGCTACAGTGATGGGTCAGGTACAAGAATCCTCACATCTGAACTTCCACATTTATATATCAGCATTTTCTAGTTTCTAGATCAATTTTGGGACAAGTAATTGAATTAGGGCCTGTTTTCAAATGCAAACTCTTGCCTATTCTGTGAGAGAATGATGAGGAGATGGTAAGAAGATAGGAATAGAACTTTGAGAAAGCAGTTAGCATTGGTGCAGAAAATTTGGGGAACATTATAACAAACTTTTGGAATATATTTGATGTATATGCCCTAACAGTTAATATAGAAGTAGAAGGATACTGTCCCCAGGAATGCATCCCATCCAATTCATCACCTGCTTCCAAAATGAAGTTTTACATATAGTCCTGTTCCAAGTCTTAGCAAAATTCTGAATAACACTAGAAAAGTGATTTCCTTCTGAGCTATAATTTCCTCACCATTAAATTGAGTCAGATTGAATTATTTATTTTTAATAAGCTTGAAGGCTTACATTCTATAATTAAGAAATTTCACTCATTATACAACCCATTTGGAGATCTTTTTTTTTTTTGAGGGTTCATTGTTTGGCAACATAGAGATAGTGCTCAGATATAATACATAACTTCTCTGACCTTCGCTGTCTAAGAACAGATAATAAGGTTCTATCTCAAGAACATAACTGAAATAGTATATATTTTCATTTACTGCTACTGGTATTTGGAAGAGGATAATTTCATCTCAAAGAGAAGAAAATTGCTGTTTGTGTTCAATGACATAGGAATTATCTAAAGTCTTGGTAAGATGTGGAACATGAACAAGGGGGTCTAATCTTTCTGACATAAGTGATGGGTTTCATCAAAGAGTCAAAGAGAAACTTTAAATCCAACCTTTGCAGATGACCAAAGATCTGTGGTTTTCAGAGGGGGAGGGGAGTAGTGATATTGGGGGTTTGGGGTGGAGAGAGCCCAATGGACTAGGTGAAGGACTATGGGTGCTTCAGTAGTGGAGAGCTATGGTGACTACACCTCAGGAGGGAACCCTATACTTTCAAAATACTAGCAAGAATGTAAACAATGGTACTTCAGTAAAAACAAGTAAAATTTTTATATTTTATTTAAAAGAATTTTTTAATCTTATTTTTTTCCTTACATCATTGTAGTTCTGTTTCTTACTCAGTTCACACAGGAAACCCTCAAACACTTCTCTCCCAGGTTCAGTCAAGAATTGCTGTCCACTGAATTGGGTCTATTTTCACTCCAGCCACTACTTCTTTTCTACAAACACATTGACCTGGACATTAAGTGTAAAAAACTGCTCAGACATGGGAGCTCATCTGGTGATTATCAACACCCAGGAGGAGCAGGTAGTTGGAGTACAGTCCCCAATATATGACACTCTTCACAGCATCGATAGCCCTCTCCATACATGTGTATAGATTGACTGCTGGTTAAATGAATTTATGATATGTATGTATTATGCTATTCCTACTATTTCTGTAAGTGAATACCAACTTTAACTTATTTTCAGCATTAGAAAATCCTAAGAAAAAAAGGGAATGTTTCATTCCTTTGTTACTAGGTAGGCAGAAAGGGTAGGGAGTTAATTTTGGGATGACCAGTAAGTTTAGCTACATCCTATGAAAGTGGGAACACAAGTATTACTTGAAGTTGTGATTAATAATGTTTTGTGCTAGATACATACTGTAGATTTGGCTAGTAATAACAATAGATAAATTTTTGAATGAGTTCTAGAGAATATCCTCTGTTGAAGATTCTTTTTTTTTGCTGGTTTAGTTTTATGTTACATGTAATTTTGCCACAATAAAAGAAACCAGAATATAATTCTTGATGAATTTATAATTTCAAACCATTTATCTATCATCTCTAGACTAAACCCTGCTTTATCTATGATAACAATTACCTTCAGGGCCTCCCCGGTGGCGGAGCAGTTGAGCGCTGGGCTGCGAAGTTGCCTGCAGCCTCTGCAGTGCTGGTTCCATCCCCAGCCGCAGGCGAGGGTCCCACATGGCACACAGACCTCTAATCCGCACCCGCTGCTCCCCTCAGCAGTGTATTTCCTTGGTCTGACTGTTCTGTTCTCCGCTCTGGCTTTGGTGAATTCTCTCACCCTCCCATACTTCTGACTGTACCCAGTGTTTTTATAAATAAATATAAATAAATAAATCTTTTAAAAAATTACCTTCCACATTTGTTCAGAATTGAAATAATTGCTTTCTCTTTTTTTTATTGTGCATCTTCCATAGGAATTCCTTTTCATTACAAAACCTAGAGGAAAAGAGTTTTATATTGGATTGACAGACAGGATGGTTGAGAGTCAATGGCAATGGGTAGATGGCACACCTCTCAACCAGTCTCTCAGGTACTTTTCTTCTTGTAGGGGAATTGTAACCCTACTCTGATCCTCATTACATCATTGTTGAGGGGAGTTACCAGAATGTCCTTCTGTTTCATGAGATATATTCAGATCCATCCTTGGTGAAATTCAAAGCAAGAAGGGAAAGAGCAAGTGTAGATGAGTAAACAGAAATATGAGTATCTGCTGCTTCCATTTCCTAGAACTATCTCAAAAATAAAGGGAAAGTAACAGGTGATTATGAGAAGGGATTGGAATTGAAGATTCACTCATTGGAAATGCAGAAGAGGCACAGAGTGGCATTCAGAGTCTTATGCTCCCAAACTGTAGTAAATGAGATAAAAATAGTGATTTGAGAAAAAAAGTAGATGCTTAATTGAGTAAACACAGACTCTCCATGATGTCAACTCTTTTCTCCTTACAATGGCTGTACGTCATTAGAGCACAGCATTTTTGAGTTTTCAATTTTTGTATCTCAATCATTTTTAAATTTTACTTAATTTCCACCTTTCTGAGCTACATCAATATTATCGATCTTCACTTAGCAACTGAGGAAATAAAAGAGCAGGGGGGCTTAAATCATTGCTAAGAGTATAGCCCAGATCCTTTGATACTTTAGAAAGTTACTTCACTTAAACATTGTAACACCTTTGATGTATGTACCTAAGTTAATACAAGCCCTTTGTAGAATAAAGGGAACCAAACAAGATACATCAGGATATGAATCCTTTCTGTAACTTCTCATTCTGGGTCTTAGAACATGAAAGAGCATGACAACAGAAAATCTGAAAGATCCAGTCTGCTTCATGACTCACAAACTATAACTTAAACAAGTGGTTTCACTTTTCTGTGGTTCCCTCTCTTTGTCAATGATGTGGACATTATAACACCTCCTTCACTTAAGTGCTATGTGAAGTGAAAAAACACAAATGCAGTTTGCCTAGTGTACTAGGGCACTTGCCCTCTTGTGGTTAGGATTTCCAATTTCCCATGTGTCTCTCTTTCAGCTTCTGGGATGCAGGGGAGCCTAACAACATAGCTACAGCTGAAGACTGCGTCACCATAAGAGACTCTTCAAACCCAAGGAAAAATTGGAATGATGTGCCCTGTTTCTTCAATCTGTTTCGGATTTGTGAAATGCCACAAGCAAATATTCTGAATCAAGAAAAATCTCTTTGACGAGAAGGCACAAATAAATGAAGAGGAATAAAAGCAAGAATATGGCTACACCTCCAACAGGAGGAAAGTGTGCTTTGCACTTCATGAGAACTCCATATGTTTCATTGCTTTATATCATATAAATAAAAATAAGTAGCTTTGAATGTAATAATTCATGATTTTTCCCTATGTAAGTCTTAAGACTTCTCAAAATTTACAGAGCAATTCTCTAGCAAATGCTGTGAAAAGAAAGGAATGCCCCTTTTAATTCATTTACTTCATTTGGGAGTATTTATATGAGAACACAGGAACAAGGAACAAATACAAAATCCAACAAAGTAGGGGGGGGGGATATCTTTGCACTTGATCTTATCCAAAAGGCTGAGAAGCAATGGAAACTACCTTTCAAGTAATACCTGAATTCAGGCTCAGTGTCAATTTCTCTTTTTTTTAGCTTCTGAAAAGTCTCTCTTCTCTTTCTATTTTCACACTCCTTCCACCCTGCCCCACCACATCACCTCACTGTACTCTCCTATAGAATGAGTAGGACACTTGCTTGAAGTCATGAAATGTAATCCTAGTCCAAAGACTTGTGTGGACTTTCTGCCCAACAGGCTTTACTGCACCTCTTAGGAAGGTCCATACTAACCTTCAACTCATCCAACAGACTAATGAATTAACCAACAGAGTCATTCAGCCCACTCACCCCAATCTCCCTTCATTCTCTGTTTACTCTCCCATGACAAATTAGGGGATCTCACCTGAATTTGTATTTATTGGTCAAGCAGAGCCAGAGTTCAACAGTCAAATTATTCTGAGAAAGCATTCAACTTGACACTTTCCTATCTCAAGTTTATCCACTTATTGCATAATATGCTACTAATTCCAATAAGTATATTCAATAATATCTAAACAACCTAGTGGCTTCTGTAACCAAGTTTCTTGCACCATGAAGAGCATCATGAAGAGACCCTCAAAATTCATATATTGGAATTAATGTGTGATCATTGAATGGGAAAATTCAACTGAAGACATAAATATAATAGATTTGCTTTTATGAAAAACGTTTCTCTGAGAAATAAATAATAATATGTGGCTTTTCTTTTTTAAGATTTAATTTTATTTATTTATCCTTACAAGAACTGGGGTTTAGGCCAAATGTTTGAGGGTGAGAGGAATTACCAGAGACAGAGTAGAGAACAGGCAAGCAGATCTACTGAAATGCACTGCTGAGGGGATCAGCGGGCAAGACAGGAGAGAGATTCTGCACCATGTGGGTCAGCTCCCTGGCTGGGGGATTGGACTCATGAGGCCCCAAGGGTGGTGATAGCTTGACAGTACTGAGACTTTAACCCCTGTGCCACCAGGGAGCCCCAGCAATCTTTGGTTTTAAAATCAGCATGCTTATAATCCAAAGTGTCTATTAGCCTTTACAGAGTTATTGCAACAAGTTCTTTTAGAATTTGTGCTCTGTAACTCAGTGAATATGGGAAACACAATTAAAGTCACTGAGCACTATTTCAGTTAAAACATCAGCTTTAAATGCAAATGCACACAACAATCACACACCAGTATTCAAACTCAGAAAATCACCAATTTACAAGATAAATACCATCTTTAAAAATAGGGTAAAGGAGTTCGGTTAAAATGCTAAAATTGTTTAGCTTAGATCCAGGAAACATCAGCAAATGGAGAATCTGAAGGAAAACCACCATATTTTGTTGATAGTGAATGTGACTGTTTCACAATTAGTAATAACTCATACATTACAAAAGCATAATTTCAGATTGTTCAAACAATGCCTTCCTTGCTAGTTTGAACTATAGGTTAGAATTCTAAGGAAACATGAACAATTTACATAAACAAGTTGAAAACACCACACTCTGATTAAAATTAAAAAAAATAGAAACACTAATACAATGTTGCTTCTAATAATTAAGAATTTTTATCTGTTAGCCAGATGTCATGTCACCTCCAGAAATTTTCCCATAATGCCAAAGGGAATTCATTTCATCTCTGAGGAAAGGTAGACCTCAGAGTCCTGCTTCCGTTGTGAACTAGCAAAGTGAAGGTGAACTCTCTGGCTTCTCAAGGATTTTGATTTCTCAGCTATAGAATTGAAGGTGTTTGGTTAAAGTGGCCTGAGTAAGCCTTTCTGACTCAAAAAAAAAAATACCTTAGGTTTGGACTCCCTGTTTTGGGAAGACATTTAGGATGAAGAATTAAATTTAGTATAAATCCACAGTTTCTTTATTCACTCATCCTTTGATGGCACTCATCCATATTGCTGTGAACATAAAGGTGCATATAATGTCTCACATTAGTGTTTTGATATACTTTAAATAAATATCTAGGAGCAGAAGGGAAGATGTTTTGAGAGATTTCCAACATGGTTACAATGACTAGTACATGAATTTCCATGTTTCTTTTGAGCTCCATACAATTAAGATTATTCTGGAAAGTGAATCTCCATAGGTCTGGTGTTACAGAAAGAATACTGAAAAATAAAGTGAAAATGTGTCCAAGAACAGGGAATGCTCCCTAGTGCATTATGTGACCTCCATAATGAAACAGACAAACAAAGCACAAGAAACTTACAACCCAATATCCCTGATGAATATTGATGTGAAAAACCTTCAACAAAATACTAACAGGTCAAATTCAACAATACCTTACAAGGATTACATGATCAAGTAGGATAGAACTCAGGGATGCAAGAATGGTTTATATACCTACATCAATCCATATATATGATGTAATACTCTACATCAACAAAAGAAAAGACAAAAATTATATGTATCAGATGCAGAGAATGCATTTGATAAGACTTAATGCACATTTTTAGAAACTAAACAAGGTGAGGGTAAAAAGAACCACCCTTAATATAATAAAGTCCGTATATCACAAACCTATAGTCAATATAATGTTCAGTGGCAAAAAAAATGAGTTTCCCTTTAAGATCAAAAAACAAGACAAGGATGCCCATTGTCACCACTTCTGTTTGATTTAGTGTCAGAGGTGTTAAGTAGAGCAATCAGACAATAGGAAATAAAAGGAAAAGAAGTGAGACTCATTATTTGCAGATGATATGATACTCTAAAACCCACCAAAAAGCTATTAGATTAGAAATAATAAATGAAAATAGCAATATGCAGGTTATAAAATCAACATGTAAAAAATCTGTTGCATTTTCATAATTCATAAAAAAGAATCAAGTTCTTAGGGATTAACCTAACCAAGGAGTTAAAGGACATATACAATGAAAACTACAAGAGGAGATGGAAAAACATTACAAACATTACATTAATGAGGAGAATTAATATAGTCAAAATGAATATTCTACCATTTTTAATGTTTTGAGAAACCTCCATACTATATTCTATGGGAGGTGGACTAGTCTACCTTCCTACCAGCAGTGTGTGAGGGATCCTTTTTCTCCAAATCCTCACCAACATTTGTTGTTTCTGGTCTTTTTGATGTGGCCGGTCTGTGAATACATATTATGATATTTAAAAGTCCAATGCATTTCACTGAGGCTTTTCTCATAAAAGTGTACTTTTTATGTTTAATAATTACATTTTTATTTTTGTGCATTATTAAAAATGATAAAATACCTAATCTGGTTGTTAGTATTTTTTTTTTTTTGGAGTCTTCTGACTACATTAGATCAAGAACAAAGGATGGCAATTCATTTAAAAGGGAATATAGAAGGTAGTTAACTACACTGAGCTGACAATATCTAGTCTTCTGTTCTCTAGAGCTAGAGCCATCTAGCTCTAGTTATCCTTTGTGAGAAGTGCACAAACTCCTTTGTTACCGTCCTTACAGTATTATTTTTCACCCTTTCTGGAAAATTCATCATTACTCATAGGTGATTTGCTTCTCCTCAAATCCTCAGAGTGCAATCTGATTACTTTGTGCTCTTTACCTTCATTAACTCAGTATTATTCTTTTTCTTAGATTATTTGTCCCATACCATTCTAGCATATTGAGTATAAATTTAGGCTATACATTTTACATCATTTACATTAAATCAACATATAGTCATAATATGTTCTATGCTCACTGCTTATAAACAGTTTATTGCAGGCTGCTTATTGCTAAGAGTTAAATTTGACTCCATCATACTCTGACACCATTCCACACCCACCCACCCTTGGCCCCATAATTCCAGTAGCTGGACTTCTGCTTTCTTCTGCCTTATGACAGTCTTTATCATTTACCAATTCCCCATTCCAGTATACTGTTTCTTGCATGTCACTTACCATCTTGATTTCCTTTGTAAGTCAATGACTACTTCAAGACTGGGGGTGTGGCCTTTAACAGAAATTTGTGGGACAGAAGCAGGATCCTGTCTTTCTGCTGTTGATCACCAGCCATAGACTGGATAGTTTCCTCTTCACTCTTTTACAGTTGTTATGGCTAAATTGTCTAATATCATATTTTATGGTTATCATAACTGGTCCAGATTATTACCTTATTAAGTATAAATTGTTTTCTTCTTTACCCAAGAGCATTGTAAATAACCCAGCAGATTAATGATCCCCTGAAAATCTTTTCTGTAAAGGAAGCTGCAAGGATGCTGGCTGGGTGAGGTGCAGTGTCTTTGATTCATGGAAGTTTCCATGGAGCTCTGTCAGCAGAAGTCAATGTCAGCCAACACTTTCTGGTCTTCTGTGGACAAAATGGCAGAGTTCCTTCATGAGACAGTGGTGGCTAAGGCTACTGAGGTTCCAAGAGGTGAAGGCTGTAGGGATCCTACTGTTTTCATTTTTGCCTGTTGGGAAACCCTCTTGGTACCAGGTGTGGCACACTGGCACCCAGAGTAGCATTGGGCAGCTTAAATTAAAAGACTTGACAATGGCACCTGCTGAAAGAGCAACTAGATATCTCACACCTTGTTTAAATGCAAATAAGTACTGCCATTTGAAACACAAATTGGCAGTTAAACATCAACATACCAGTGATCTAAAAATTCTGCTCACATGAAATGAAAATCTTTGCTCAAACAAAAAACTTCTACATGATGGTTTATAGTAGCTATTTATAGATATATAACTACTCTAAACTGGGAGCAACACACATACCCCTCAACTGGGAAATGGATAACCAAGTCGTGTTACATTTGTATGATGAAATATTACACAACATTGAAAAAGAATAAACTACCTCTTCATGCTACATTAGTGTGTCATCACAGTGAAAGAAATAAGATTCAAAAGGTTGTATAAGGTATAAATCTATATATGACATTCCAGAAAAGACAAAACTATAGACACAATACAAACAACACAGTAGAGAAGTTATTACAAAGGTTTAAGGGGGGTCTCCCTGGTGGCACAAGGGGTTAAACACAGCACTATGAAGCTATTCACAGCCTCTGCAGCATGAGTTCGCTCCCTGGCCAGCCAGGAAACTACCCACATGGCACAGCAGACCTCTCCTGTCTCGCCTGCTGCTCCCCTCAGCAGTGTATTTCAGTCAGTCTGCCTATTCTGTTCCCTGCTCTGTCTCTGGTGAACCTTCTCAGCTCCCCACTCCCACACCTCTGGCCTGTACCCCAGCTCTTGTATGCATAAATAAATAATCTTAAAAGACAAGAAAGGTTTGAGGAAAATTTTTGTGATGATAAAATGGTTTGATATAGTGATTTTAATAGTTGTTCTCTGACTGTATGTCTTTGTCAGCACTTGCATAACAACACATGACAAAAGGAGACTTTCGTTGTAGTATGCCTTGTTGCAAAATACCAAAAAATGATAAAGCAATAAAAATTTTGGAGGAAAGTAGAACATCTTCATCATATTGAAGTAAGTTGTTTTCTTAGATTGGACACAAAATCCACTTACTTGAAATAAACACAAATTTCAGCTATATTAAGAAATTCTGTTTGTTAAAAGACACGTGTTTAAAAAAAAAAGACACTTTGTAGAGATTAGAAAGGCATCCCTTAGAGTGAGAGGAGATATTTACAATTCACACATCTATCAAAGACTCATATCCAGAATATGTAAAGAACTCCTACAATTTAACACAGAAAAGACAAATGCAAAAAATTAAAAAGTGGCAAATGGCTTGATCAAACACTTTACAAAAGACTATTTTCAAATGGGTAATGTGCATTTGAGAATTCCTCAACTTCATTAATCATCAGGGAAATGCAAATTCAATCCATACTACAATACACCTAAATGTCTACCAGAATAGCTAAAATGGACACCACCTAACAATGCCAATTGTTGTGAGGAGGTGGAACAAATTTCTCATGCTTGTGGGAGTGTAACTAATACATCAAAAGACATGTACAAAGTAGTTACAACAGGACAATTCATGACAGACCCTAAATGAAAATCACCAGCATTAAAATGAGTAAGTGGCATATTCACACAATGGAAAACTAGACAGCTAAGAGAATGAATGAACCACAAATACACTCAACAATATGGATTTCACAAACAATATATAAAATAAACCCAAAACCACACACAAAAGATTTTATTCTTGATGATTCATTTATATACATTTCCAAAGCAAACATCCATGTTGTTAAATGTCCTGATATCAGGTACAAGAGAGAGTTTGATAACTGAATAAAAGTACAAATGGGGCTTTGGCATGTTGGTAATGTTCGTTTCTTGAGCAGGATGATGGTTACTTGAGTGTAATTATTGTTCTGAAATTTAAGTAGCTGAACAATCTGACTTGCGTTCTTTGTGTACTTTGCATTTCTGCTTCAAAACTCTATTCAAAGTATCCTAGAAAATCTTCTCAAGAAACTAGAAAAATAATCTTATGGAAACTAAGACGTTAGGAGGGGGAAGTTGGTAACGTCTCAGGGGGAATTCATCCTGTCTCCCCTCCAATTTTTAATTCTATTGCTTTCCCCTGTCTGAAACTGAGCAGCAGCCCACCAGGTCCTTGACAGAGCCAACAAGACTTCAGACTCCACACGACTTTTCATAGAGACAGTTCATGCAAAGCAGTCACTTCTCTGTGTTAAATTTAAGTTCATTTTCAAACAACGTCAGGGCAAAGATTAAGCATAGTGAATTCTAAAGAATGTTTGGCTTCCCAGTAACTATCACCAACAGGGTAAAAGGGAGACCTGCTTTCTGTGATTGCAGCTTGTCTCTCAGACTTCCAGAGCTCTGAAGAGTAGTGTCGTTGGTTGGCTTTTCCAGAAACAGGTGCTGAGACAGAATTAAGAGTTCAAAATACTGGGCCTCCCCTGGTGGAGCAGGTGGTTGAGCGCAGCGCTGTGAAGCTGTCCGCAGCCTCTGCAGGGCGAGTTGGATCGCCGCGGGGCCGGCGAGGGTCCCACATGGCGCAGCAGACCTCTGCTGTCTCGCCCGCTGCTCCCCTCAGCAGTGTATTTCGTCCATCTGCCTGTTCTGTTCCCTGCTCTGTCTCTGGTGAATCCTCTCACCCTCCCGTGCATCTGGCCTGTACCCCAGTTCTTGAATAAATAAATAAATCTTTAATAAAATAAAATAAAACCTCTCTTTAAAAAAAAGAGTTCAAAATACTGATCAGTTTAGCACCTTTGAAAGGAACAGAAGGGTGCGGGTGTGAGAGAACAGGATGTAATAAAGGAAATTCAACTATGGTGCAGGTCCAAAATCGTCTTGGTCATCTTGGTAAAGTAGACCGAAGCGAATGTAGTTAGAAAACATTGTTGTGACAATGTCTTTCTGGTTCATAGGCGGGAAAATAAATTCCAGAAACCACAATGGTCACAATAAACTTGCTGAACAAAAGTACTCTTAATTCTGTCATTCAAGATCAGACTGCCTCATTCATTTTTATATATGCTCCAAATACCTGTGCATCAGTGAAAGTTCCAAATGAGCAGCAGACCGTAATGCAAGTTAGAATTCAAGCTGCTCTCCCCGTAGATGGTAGTTACGTATGGCACCATCCATCATGATTGGTCCATCAGAAACAGCTGTTGACGTGCTGCGCAGCTCCCAGAGCTGCTGCCACCGCAGGAGACGGTTGGGAGGACCGTTGTGGGGAGCACCACACGAGGCGAGAAGGGCGTCTGCTCCCTCCGCAGACCAGAACCGCGAGCACCAGAGTTGGCACTACTGTCACCCGGCAAGGTATCTGAAGTAAACAGGGGCATTAAAATCAAACTGTAATGAGATGGATTGGGTTATGAAACATAATGGTCCAAATGACGCTAGTGATGGGACAGTACGACTTTGTGGACGGCCATTTGGTTGCAGCTAAGAGGAAATAGTTCAGTTCTTTCAAGGTATATTGAGATCTTCAGAAGTAGCAGGAGTGAAATCAAAGGATTTTATGATCCTCCAAGAAAATTGCTGGGACAGCGACCGGGATCATATGCTGGACCAATACGAGGAAGAGGGGGTTATTATGGCGCTGGGTGTGGAGTATGTATGACAGAATGCAACGAGGAGGTGATGGGTATGATGGTGGTTGTGGAGGTTTTGATGACTATGGTGGCTATAATAATCATGGCTATGGAAATGATGGCTTTGATGACAGAATGAGAGATGGGAGGTATGAGAGGGCATGGCTATAGTGGAGCTGGCAATGCAAGTTCAGGTATTCATGGTGGTCATTTTGTACATGTGAGAGGATTAACTTTTTGTGCAACTGAAAATGACATTTCTAATTTCGTCTCACCACTAAATCCAATACAAGTTCATATTGATATTGGAGCTGATGGCAGAGCAACGGGAGAAGCTGATGTAAAGTTTGTGACACATGAAGATGTGGTAGCTGCCGGTTCTAAAGAGAAGAATAACATGCAACATCGATACATGGAACTCCTTTTGAACTCCACTTCTAGAGGTGGCTCTGGAATGGGAGGTTCTGCAATGGGAGGCTACAGCAGAGACGGAATGGGTAATCAAGGCCCTTATGGGTCAGTTGGAAGAATGGGAATGGGGAACAATTACAGTGGAGGATATGGCACTCCTGATGGCTTAGGTGGTTATGGTCATGGTGGTGGTGGCAGTGGAGGTTACAATGGCCAAGTTGGCGTGAGTGGAGGTGGATGGTGTGAGATGTACTAAAGCAAAACCGTCAACATAAAAGTCCTGACAACAGCATCTGGTCTACTAGATTTTCTTATAATTTCCTTTGTATTTTAAGAACTTTATAATGACTGAAGGGATGTATTTTTAGAATATTATTTGGTACAGCAACAGAGTGTGATGGGAAATCTGTTTTCTTAGGTTTTACTTGTTGCATACTTTGACTTTGAACAAATTTTTATATTCAAAAAAAGAAAAGAAACAGCTGTTGAAACTGGTTGTGGGCTCTAGTTGGTTCAGTTAAACCCATGTCAGAGAGAGGTGACAAAGACTTGCTTTTCAGCCCTTGTCTTTAAGCCCTTGCGTCCAGATCCCCATGTGAATTCCATGACAGTTGGAACCATACTGTTGCCTGGACTGGGTTGACAGACACAGGTTGGTACACAGATTATAAAAAGAAATGCCATTGAGAGTTTGTGATGATAGCAAACAAACTTAATAGGTGTACAGAGGGCTTCCTAAATACACTGTGGGGAAAGATGGGAAATGAAGAGAGGTGGGAGAGAGACTAATAAGTGAAAATTAGAAGCAGGTGTTAATAACAGGAATCTTTATTATATATTTCTCTTGGACACTTATCTTACCTATCTTTGGAGTTCTCTCACCCACGGCAACTGAGTGCCCACACAGGGAGCACCGAGTAAGAGCATAGCAGAGACTATAAAGGGACTGAAACACTAATTTTTTCCTCTTAATATAATTTGTTTTTGTCCTCCTAGATTCCAAGATGGCTGACAAGACTAAATTTTGGGGTGTGGTGCCTACAATACTGAAGATGAGTAAAGACCCTACAAACTTCTATATTGGGCGAACACTATGGTTTAGTGTTATTTTTCTTTATTTTTCAGTTGTGTATGTAGTGCAGACCACCTGGACTGACGTGGTCAAACGCTTCCAGTGCCATGGGGACATCTCTGCCCTCTGTTTAGCACAGTGCTATGAGGATCACTTCAATAGGCCTGTTCTAGGAGTTTGGAATGTGGTTGGCATTGTCTTTTCCTCCATCTTCTTTGTGATGGAGTTTTTTGTCTCTCAGAAATTACATAAGGAAACCAAGCGGCTGAAGAAAAAGCACAGTGATAACAGCAGCAATGCAGACCAAAGAAAGACAGAAGATGAACTCTTCGACTTATCCCACACAAAGTCCCTGTTAGTGATGTATCTTGTCTACTTTCTTGCACAGGGGTCTATACAGGCGGTCTTCTTGGTGATCCTTATTTACTATCACCTACCACTGGTTCAGAATCCTATTTGGTGCAATGCTGTCACATGTGGCGGACTTCACCGTTGCACAGTGAAGGGGACACAGGAAATGAGGATGTCCATCATACTTCTGGCCACACTTTCAGTGGTTATCATGACTTTCTGCATTATGTTCTTCCTGTACACCATTAACAAGTACTTAGCCATGGTACGTCACTCCAAAAATAACTCTGATGGTCATCCTTGATTACAAAATATGGAAGGCATGCAAAAGAGGCCAGTCCTAGTCTTATATTGAACCAATACATATTTTATTCTTATCTCATGTTCCCAGAATATTCTCATCTTAGAAAAATAAAACATGGAAGTGTGACAAGTTAGCTTTCTTCTTATATGCATAACCACATTTTTTCCTATAGAAGAAACTGGGATAGCTTCTAAAATATTATAGGGCCCCCCTGGTAGTTAAGACACAACCTATGAAGCTATCCGCAGCCACTGCAGCAAAAGTTCAATCCCTGGCCAGGATGCTGCCCAAATGGTGCAGCAGACCTCTCCTGGCTGGCCCACTGCTCCCCTCAGCAGTGTGTTTCAGTCAATCTACCTGTGCTGCTCCCCACTCTGGTGAATCCTCTCACTCACCCCGCACCTCTGGCTTGTACCCCAGTTCTTGTATGCATAAATAAATAAATATTAAAAATATATATTTTAAAGTTTGGAATCTAAGGGCATCTTACTGCTGAAGTTTTGATACCCCATCCTATGAAATTTTAAGAACTAAAATTGTAAGGAGTTAAAATTTTAGTAAAGCAAGGTTCTGGTTAAGAGAATTTACATCTTGAGAATTTGAGAGGGAAAGACACAATGGGAAATTAGAGATAATGTTGTAGCTTCTTTAGTGTTTAGTATCATAGTGACAACTTCTTACAAGGCTCTTCATATCTTCTAAAGTTTTCCTATTTAAGTAAAAGCAGTGCAGATGTTTCCAAGAAATTTAATACAAAAAAAATCATATAGTAGGGAGATAAATGAATAAAACATAAATAAGAAAAAAGAGAAGAATGTGTTCTCAGAGCTTCCAAGGAAATGACTGAGTTTTGGATATGCATTAATAGGTAAAGAGAACAGAAGATGCAAATATATTTTTGTACTTGAACTGCACCTATTTCTCTTTGACACTATTTCATTATTACCAACTTCTAGCTTAGTTTAGGCAAACTGAATTAATATATGTAGAAGTGATTAAATTTTGAGAAATAACTTCTTGGTTTTTGTTTTTTTTTCTTTTATATATATTTTACATCATTAATCATTTTTGTACAATGTATGCTTTCTCCTCTCTCAGGTGTAGTCCCCACATAATTCCTACCATCAATTCACCCGTGCACCATCACCATAGTCCCTGTGCTCTTCCCTCCCGCTTTTGATCCCTCTCCTCTGCAGAGTGTCTGATTTATAGTTGCCTGTTAATTTTGTTTCTTACCCAATCATAATTTTTTTCTGATCCTTTATTTGGTACCCCTATATTCCTCCTGTAAATGAAACCATCCAATATTTTTCTTTCTCTTTCTGACTTATTTCACTGAACATAATCCCTTCCAGCTCCAACCATGTTGCTAGGAATGGCATGAGTTTATCTTTTTTGATTGCTGAGTGATAGTCCATTGTGTATATGTACCACATCTTCTTGAGCCAGTCATCTGTTTTTGGACATTTAGGTCGTTTCCATAACTTAGCTGTAGTGAATAGTGCTGTAATAAAGATAGGGGCGCAGGTATCCTTTTGAATTAATGCTTTTGTGTACTTTGGGTTGATTCCTATGAGTGGAATTGCTGGGTCATCTGGTAGCTCCATTTTTAGTAGTTTGAGGAACCTCCACACAGCTTTCCATAGTGGTTGGACCAGTTTGCATTCCCACCAGCAGTGTAGTTCCTTTTCTCCACCTCTTCACCAACATTTGTTGTTTCCTGTTTTTTTAATATGTGCCATTCTCACTGGTATAAGGTGTTATCTCATTGTGGTTTTGATTTGCATTTCCCTGACACAAGTGATGTAGAACATTTTTTCAAATCCCTATTGGCCATTTGCATTTTGTCTTTGGAGAAGTATCTTTTTAGCTCTTCTGCCCATGTTTTGACTGGATTGTTTACTTTTTTTGTTGTTGTTGACTTGCATCATCTCTTTATAGATCTTTGTCATCAGTCCCTTATCAGTAGCATTGTCTGCAAAAATTTTCTCCCAATCAGTAGGGTGTCTCTTCATTTTGGTTAATGTCTCTTTGGCTGTAGAGAAGCTTTTTAATTTGATGACATCCCAGCTGTTCATCTTTTCCTTCCCTTTCTTTGCTCTGGAGAATGTGTCTTCAAAGATGTTACTGAGATGTATGTCATGTAGTGTTTTGCCTATATTTTCTATGTTTTATGGTTTCAGGTCTTATGTCCAATATTTTAGACATTTTTTTTTAATTAATAAATTTTATTTTTATATTCCCCATACAATTGCAATCCCCCCATTCTGACCCCAATCCCTCCCTCCCGCCCCCCACCCCCCAAAAAGTGTCTCTGGTTCATAGTTTTTGTTGATTTTGATTTTCACTTTCTTATAGTTATTCATTTTCCTGGTCCCTTATTTAAGTTTTCTAGATCCCTGCTATGAGTGAGACCATCCGGTATTTTTCTTTTTCTTTTTGGCTTATTTCACTGAGCATGATCCCTTCCAGCGTCATCCATGTTGCTGCAAATTGCATGTGTTTATCTTTTTTGAATGCTGAGTAATATTCCATGGTATATATGTACCACATCTTCTTGATCCAGTCATCTATTTTTGGGCATTTGGGCTGTTTCCAAAGCTTAGCTATTGTAAACAGTGCTGCTATAAACATAGGGGTGCAGGTGTTCTTTGGAATTGATGTTTCTGTGTTCTTTGGGTAAATACCTAGGAGTGGAATTGCTGGATCCTGTGGAAGCTCTATGTTTAGTAGGTCCAGAAATCTCCACACAGCTCTCCATAGTGGTTGGACCAGTTTGCACTCCCACCAACAGTGCAGAAGAGTTCCTTTTTCTCCACAACCTCGCCAACATTTGTTGTTGCTAGTTTTTTTAATATGTGCCATTCTCACTGGTGTAAGATGGTATCCAATCAAAAAATGGACAGAGGAACTAAAAAGAAACTTCTCTGAGAGGAAATGCGAATGGCCAACAGGCATATGAAAAAATGTTCAACATCACTTGCAATCAGGGAAATATTTTAGACATTTTGAGTTCGTTTTTGTGCATGGCATAAGGTAGTAATCAGCTTCATTCTTTTGCATGTAGCAGTCCAGTTTTCCCAGCATGCAACAATTACTGTTGTTGTCCCCATCTTCCTCACAGGTGGGATACTATTGATACTTCCATTTTATGAATGAGGAAAGAAGGACATAGTAGTTTTAAGTACTCCCCCCATTAGGTTTCTGAAAACAGAGTCAAAAGAGGGGAGGGAAGAACACAAAGGACTATGGTGATGGTGCGCGGGTGAACTGTTCATGGGAATTATATGGGGACTACACCTCAGGAAAAAGCATATATTGTATAAAAATTAATAATGATGTAAATATATATATAATAAAATTGAATAAAAATTAAAGAGAAAAAAACAGATTTGTGTCAAAGGCACAAGATCAACTAAAATTCCAATTAAAACAAAGCATAATAAAGTTCTGTGCAAAAGCCCAACTTCATTAAATACCAGCATTAAATATATATTTCTTTAAAAAAAAAAACAGCAGTAAGCAGCTTAAATGCTGTAATGAATGAGGTTTTGATTGTGGAACATAAATACAGTCTGTGTAGAGTAGTGACATAGATTAACTGAGTCTAGTTTGCCTAGGACACTCTTGATGATTCCCATTGTCCCAGCACAATTACTAATAGGGCCCTCCTTTCATTTTAAAAGGAGTCCTAGTTTAGAATATAAATTACATAGTCATCCTATTATACAGCACATAGCAAATGCCTATAACCACTAGTTACTCTCATAACTTTGTTTTGGGCATTTGGAATACAGCCATAAGCAACAATAACAATGAAACAACAATCCCTGCCCTGGTGGACTTTGCATTCCAGTTAGGAGAGAGAAACAATCATATCACCAAAATATATTATATGGTGATAATTTATATTAGAAGGTGGTAAATACTCTGTACAACAGCAACTGAATTCATGAAACTTGCCTTATAGTCTCTTTTCAAATGTATCAGCAGAATCTTTAAAGTTGTCTGAATTAAAAAACATAATAGAGGTCTCAATAGGATAAACATATTGTTCTCAGGAAATGGCCAGCAAGTTGAGTTTAAAGGGGAAAACTAGAGCGAAAAAGGCAAGGAAGTTGTGAGTAGAACCAGTCTGAGATCACAAAAGTTTCTATCCCATAATGTCTAGAGCAATCTCCTCTCGCCAACGCTGCTGTTGGTTGGATCCTAATCCAGTCCCCCGGTTTCTTAGCACCTGGTCACCCAGGTAAGGACCCATTTCTTACTCTCTTGAGCCATAAGTTTAGCCATAGGATCAAAAATACCTGACAGTACCTGAGTGGACACTGGAGCAACTCATGCAACGAAGTAATGTGGCACAAATACACAGCTGACTTTTTTTTTCCTACACAGAAAGTATTTGCACCTGCACTTCCTTACTTGCCCATTTTAGCATCTGAACCAGGATGTGGCAGTGGCTCAGCCTTGACCATGCGGAGGAGAATAATGCACCAAGGCAGGCTTTCTCAACATGGCTTCCAGGGAATTAATTCCCTACAGAAATTGATTGGAGTCTCCCAGGGATGGTGCATAGCTAGGACTATTTTATGTGTTTACAAGATAATTATCTTACCCATTAAGATAGAATTAATTGGGGTCAAAATAAGGGGGCTGTAATTGTATGGGGAATATAAAAATAAAATTTAAATTAAAAAGATAGAATTAATTTTATGGAATTACATACAATGAATGAATTGGTCATTAGGACTTAATTCCTTCCTGAACAGGTTGGGAAGACATGATAGAGATCTAAGATGGAAGGAAACAGAGTCTTCTTGATTATCTGTCAGAACAAAGTTACCTAGCCAATCCAGATATGTCAGGTTGTTACTCTTACAGGAAAATAAACTTCTATCTTAAGTAGTCCCCTGTATAATGCCCATCATTGTAACAGTAGCATCATCCATAATACTTAACATCCCTTGCTATATCTTTTAAGTTTTTTGGATCAGCCTTTCTTGGTCCTGTGCTAAGTGGGACATAATACAACTCTGGTGTCTGTGCCAGTGAAGCACAGCTCAGTTTAGATGGAGGAAGAACAGAAAATCTAAAGGAAGCAACACAGGACTAAAACCAGACTCACAAGGAGGTGGGGGTAGAAGGGATTAGCACAGTCATTGACCAGCTCTAGAAACCAAGATCCTTAGGCACCAATGTCTACATCACAAAACAGAAGATCCAAGCAGGTATCAGACTGCTGTAGGGAGTGTCTAGAGTGTAGACTCAAAGGTAAAGGTATAGACGCAAGTCTGAAAAGTCATGCATAAATCGATTTTTTCTCATTTAAATGCTTCACTTAATCTAATCCAATTCAATTTAAACCAGTTTAATTTAAAGGTTTGATTTAAAATGGTTCTGATTTAAAGTGATATCGGACTGGAACACAGGTTGAAATCCAAAAGGCAG